AACCAAGCGGTTCATTTATTTTCTCGTTGCGTTTATTTCCCTACACTACTTTTCTTCTCTGGTGAGATGGTTGTTCGCCTAGGTATTCTACTCCTACTCTCTATTTTCAGACGGAATTCTTCGGAATACACATTCGGGGGAAACATTATCAATGAAAGTCACATTTACAGGCGCCTCACTCAGGCGACAGGAATTGATCCGAGCCGTAAGTGTAACCCAGTCCGCATGTAAACCGCCTTCTTCATAATCATCGGCTTTGCAAGCTTGTCAATGATGCCCATTTCTATCGGTGAATTATTGTTGTTACAAGACAAAATCTCAACTGAAAATTAGAAAATCTAACGCAGTTATCAATCGTAAGTAGATCGAAGTAAGAATAAATTCACCAGCTGAGCGAAACTTCCTTTCAAGAAGTCATCGCCGAAGGAGCCAATGGACACGTGACTACGTGGTGTGGTTTCCGCTATTGACAGATAAGCGACGCTTTCATCCAGTTTACTAGCGAGTCATTCACAGTACCGATCAGCTGATGGTGGTGCTGAACATTCAAGAAACTGGCCCGGAGGTTACAGTTTCCAATCACTCTGGAGGTTCACGAGATACTCACTGTTGGTGAGTCTCGATAGAAGTGAAACAGCTGTACTGTGCTTCTCCGTCTCTCAGCATAGAATAGCTTCATTTACAGGGTGAAATCTCATTTGAATACCGAATCTCCTCATACCACCATCAAATTATCGTGTTCATTTTACTTATGCTTTACCGCAGATAATGTGGGGGGCGAGATGGACCAAGTGGTTAGGGCGCGAATTTACTGACCGGAAGGTCCGTGGTCCGAACCCGACCTCTACCTCTCGACTTCCCCTGTCTAGGCTTGGGCAACCTGGCAGTATCCCAGCCCTCGTGCCTCCTTCGTGTGTGACATGGCAGCTAGGCACCGAAAGAGTGCTACAACTGGACGATTTTTTTCATATAATGTGAATTGGTTGTCTCGGATAGCCAAGCTGCGCGTATAAGTATGGTTGTCACGTCTGTTGCTATCTCGGACGGTGGGCTGATAATTTCTGTCCAAGTGAACTACGCTGTTTCTGCTTTCGAACGATCGCTCGCTTTCGACCCATTCAGCTTCAGACTTTGTGGATTGTTTTTTTTAAATTGCTAACCGCCATGATCCTTTTACTAGTGCAATGCCTTCAATTTTTAGATGTGCATCCGTGACGTTCGTCAGCGCCTATTCGATCTAAACATGCAGCTTAGTTCGATTCCAGTAAGTCTTGCTTTCACAGCCATTTCCAGCCATTTCATTTGACTGTTATCAGGGTATTATTCGTCCTGACTTTTAGGTTTTCTGATTTCCCATTTTATCTATCTAACAAAGTGAGGCCACGTATTATCGTGTTCGTTCTTCTGCAGTATCCCTGCTACACCTTAGGCTTTCTTTACTCTTACTGGACTGTTCCCACTGCGTTCATTCCTCCGTCTACTCTTACAGATACCTGGTTGTCCAACTTCATGCATTCGTGTGTTGCACTCAAAGAATCTGTTCACCCATCGTGGTCCAGTTCTACTCGTTCTTCAGGGTGGTGCAATGTCACAGGCTGGCGTATGGGCCACGCGACTCTTGCTACATCCACAACATGGACTTCGTTCGGGAAGTCAGATTGATTTAGTCCGCAAGGCCCATGAGTTGGGCTACGCTGTGGCTCTTATTCACGGTGGGGATTATGGTCCAACCGAGGCCGAATTGGATACCATTGAACTAATATCCGCTCTGTCACGTCCAATGCCACAGCCAGCTGACTGTGTACCACCGGAAGTCAAGCAGGTGACAACCCAGTTGACCGGTTCTGAACTTAAATCAAACACCACGCATACCGAGTAGGTGTTCCTCTTGAAGTTAACACGTTATTTGCCGTTATGGAAATAAGGCCTTTGATTATCACTGATTTGATTTATCCCGAGAAGCCCCCTATGAACTCGCCGACAATTTATCCGCTGGTCTTCAGAGCAATTCGGGATAAGTTACTTGCTGAACACTTTCCCCACTTCACAGTGTTCAAATGTGATCAGTTTTTTTGTGCGTAAGGCAACTGTACCGTCGGCGAACTGATTGTTTAAAGTTCACCTTTGAACAAGGGCTGCTCAGGAGAAGTGGGGCTGAGGGTCTACCTTCTTCCCATCATCCAAAGAAGCATTGTTCTGCAAACGTCAACTTTCCATCATTGAAGTTGGTGTGGTGGTATTGCGGTTTTCCCTTTTGTCACGCTTCATGCAACCATCACTTGCTTGCGAAGACCACTTGTTTGTTCAACGTGATAGTGGAGGTTGAAACCGCAAATTGCAGTAGGGCTTTAGTCAAAGCCTGTGTTTGATCATTTAGTAAGTCTTTCCGGTCTCATAAACATCGTTGCATAATATGGCAACCGTTTGTAGGCAGAGATGATCTGATCGTGCTGCCCCAACACTACTGTATTGGTGTTCGATCACATGGATCCTACATGGTAAGCTACGCACCTTCATACAAAAACAACCCAACAGCTTTTCATTATCTATAAAGACCTGCTAGCCAAGTTTCGAATTCAGTCAGGGTTCAACATTATCAATTGATACCACCCTTGTTGATTTCGAAAAGAGAACCTCCAGTGTATTTGAAACTGAGCGGGATTGGAATCATTACCTAATTGAAACAGATGATGGCTTTAGGATGAACTGACTGTCGATAGAGTGTCATCACAGTAGAGATAAAGTCGTTTCTAGTTGCGCAACCGGACAAGCTGAAACAGTCCGTTTTATGTGCGGAACGATTGTTGACTCAAAACACCTGCTCCTTGTATCACTGATCTCAATCCACACCCACACCGTTTATGAATGTTTTAAATTCCCTCACTTTAGATGCCATCATACTGGGTGCCCACATGTCTATGTAGATCTCGGGGTGGCTCAGTGATTAGAACGCAAATTTACTGACCGGAAGGTCCGTGGTTCGAACCCAATCTCTACATCTCGACTGCTTCTGTATAGGCTTGGGAAACCCGGCAGTATCCCAGCTCTCGTACTTCTCCCGAGTGGCTTGGTATCAAGGAACCGGATGGGTGTTACAGCTGAATGGTTATCATTATTCCTATATTATTATTACAAAGGTGTGTTTTGCTCTTGCGACTGCAACAATTCAAAGAAACGATAGCGCCTTGCCAGTTGTTTCTTTTAACAATTATGGTCAGGTAAATTATGGTTACTCAATTCTCCGAAGAATCATATTTTCACGGAGAAATGGACAAGTTTAATTTCCTTCCAGATTTATGGGGTCTAGGTGGATTCACCATCACCCGAACTGGCCTGTGTAGGGATGGAGAGTCCTCTTTACGCTATTTGGTTGGGTCAGGAATAATTTTGAGAACCCCAGTGAAAGTGAGGATTTATTTCACCTGTAACCAAACAGACATAAAAGATTAGATGAGAATTTGGCTCATCTGTTGGTCGAACAATATTTTCTTACGAATTGCACTTGTTTTACAGCCCGACTAGCAGTGTTTCAGCTGCTCCTTGCCCAATCCCCATCAGTGACTACTTTCCCGTACCACCACTTGATTCACTGGGTTTTGCGCCGGCTACTGGACTTACTCATCAAAGTCTCGATTCTCTGAGATCCGCCAGTAGCTCAGCATTGTTTTCCCTACTGTTGAGCAACTTCAACACCCCGGAGGACAACGCATCTAAGCCTACGGTAGTGCCAGTTCCTCCCCATGTTCCTCCAACTCTCCCTGGTTGCAATAGCAGCAGCGAACGTCCCTCATTACTCCATAAAACGTTTAAGGTGAGCGCTTTTCCGTGTCTGCTGATTCCAGTTCAAACTTTCTCATCGCTTGAAAACTCTGGTGTATTTGCTGCTTTACGTGAGACATATAAACTAACACTTGATAGTTGCCGTAACGACAACGAGTGCCTTCATTGGTAGTTGATCAGGTGGCCGTTTGTCCGTTCAACAAGCTTGGCAATTAGCTTGCAAACCTTCCATTACCGATTTAGGTGACATCAATGTGCAGTTGGATGAATGATTCCTTCTTTGAGTCTATACAGCTGTCAAAGATTGGTTGATATTTTTTAGTGTGCTTGGCTGACGAGAACGCATCCTTCTCGGGACAAATCAAATGAGCAAAAGGCAGACCAGAAGAAATCCGGAACTGATCAGTTAGACGAGGAACAAAATGTCCTCGGACAGAAACTGCTCAAGCTGCAACCGAATCTAAAGAATACGAACCATAGCGCACCAAAACGTGAAACGTACTAAATGCGATTCCCAGGAAGGTGTGTTCTCCTCAGCCAATCACAGGAGTATACATCAGCTAGCCTTTAACGGCTATATAAACGCAAGCAGGTAAGGAGGTTTTACGCACTCAAACGCTCACTGATGATTGGTGGCGAAAAATTTGCAAGCTGATTACACAGCTTGGCGAACAGATCAGAGGCCATCTGGTCAATTACCAGCTACGTAAAACCTATCGGCCCTTCAGAGGTACCTCGAGTTCACACCCCATGGTATCATTCGTCCTGACTTTTAGGTTTTCTGATTTCCCATTTTATCTATCTAACAAAGTGAGGCCACGTATTATCGTGTTCGTTCTTCTGCAGTATCCCTGCTACACCTTAGGCTTTCTTTACTCTTACTGGACTGTTCCCACTGCGTTCATTCCTCCGTCTACTCTTACAGATACCTGGTTGTCCAACTTCATGCATTCGTGTGTTGCACTCAAAGAATCTGTTCACCCATCGTGGTCCAGTTCTACTCGTTCTTCAGGGTGGTGCAATGTCACAGGCTGGCGTATGGGCCACGCGACTCTTGCTACATCCACAACATGGACTTCGTTCGGGAAGTCAGATTGATTTAGTCCGCAAGGCCCATGAGTTGGGCTACGCTGTGGCTCTTATTCACGGTGGGGATTATGGTCCAACCGAGGCCGAATTGGATACCATTGAACTAATATCCGCTCTGTCACGTCCAATGCCACAGCCAGCTGACTGTGTACCACCGGAAGTCAAGCAGGTGACAACCCAGTTGACCGGTTCTGAACTTAAATCAAACACCACGCATACCGAGTAGGTGTTCCTCTTGAAGTTAACACGTTATTTGCCGTTATGGAAATAAGGCCTTTGATTATCACTGATTTGATTTATCCCGAGAAGCCCCCTATGAACTCGCCGACAATTTATCCGCTGGTCTTCAGAGCAATTCGGGATAAGTTACTTGCTGAACACTTTCCCCACTTCACAGTGTTCAAATGTGATCAGTTTTTTTGTGCGTAAGGCAACTGTACCGTCGGCGAACTGATTGTTTAAAGTTCACCTTTGAACAAGGGCTGCTCAGGAGAAGTGGGGCTGAGGGTCTACCTTCTTCCCATCATCCAAAGAAGCATTGTTCTGCAAACGTCAACTTTCCATCATTGAAGTTGGTGTGGTGGTATTGCGGTTTTCCCTTTTGTCACGCTTCATGCAACCATCACTTGCTTGCGAAGACCACTTGTTTGTTCAACGTGATAGTGGAGGTTGAAACCGCAAATTGCAGTAGGGCTTTAGTCAAAGCCTGTGTTTGATCATTTAGTAAGTCTTTCCGGTCTCATAAACATCGTTGCATAATATGGCAACCGTTTGTAGGCAGAGATGATCTGATCGTGCTGCCCCAACACTACTGTATTGGTGTTCGATCACATGGATCCTACATGGTAAGCTACGCACCTTCATACAAAAACAACCCAACAGCTTTTCATTATCTATAAAGACCTGCTAGCCAAGTTTCGAATTCAGTCAGGGTTCAACATTATCAATTGATACCACCCTTGTTGATTTCGAAAAGAGAACCTCCAGTGTATTTGAAACTGAGCGGGATTGGAATCATTACCTAATTGAAACAGATGATGGCTTTAGGATGAACTGACTGTCGATAGAGTGTCATCACAGTAGAGATAAAGTCGTTTCTAGTTGCGCAACCGGACAAGCTGAAACAGTCCGTTTTATGTGCGGAACGATTGTTGACTCAAAACACCTGCTCCTTGTATCACTGATCTCAATCCACACCCACACCGTTTATGAATGTTTTAAATTCCCTCACTTTAGATGCCATCATACTGGGTGCCCACATGTCTATGTAGATCTCGGGGTGGCTCAGTGATTAGAACGCAAATTTACTGACCGGAAGGTCCGTGGTTCGAACCCAATCTCTACATCTCGACTGCTTCTGTATAGGCTTGGGAAACCCGGCAGTATCCCAGCTCTCGTACTTCTCCCGAGTGGCTTGGTATCAAGGAACCGGATGGGTGTTACAGCTGAATGGTTATCATTATTCCTATATTGTTATTACAAAGGTGTGTTTTGCTCTTGCGACTGCAACAATTCAAAGAAACGATAGCGCCTTGCCAGTTGTTTCTTTTAACAATTATGGTCAGGTAAATTATGGTTACTCAATTCTCCGAAGAATCATATTTTCACGGAGAAATGGACAAGTTTAATTTCCTTCCAGATTTATGGGGTCTAGGTGGATTCACCATCACCCGAACTGGCCTGTGTAGGGATGGAGAGTCCTCTTTACGCTATTTGGTTGGGTCAGGAATAATTTTGAGAACCCCAGTGAAAGTGAGGATTTATTTCACCTGTAACCAAACAGACATAAAAGATTAGATGAGAATTTGGCTCATCTGTTGGTCGAACAATATTTTCTTACGAATTGCACTTGTTTTACAGCCCGACTAGCAGTGTTTCAGCTGCTCCTTGCCCAATCCCCATCAGTGACTACTTTCCCGTACCACCACTTGATTCACTGGGTTTTGCGCCGGCTACTGGACTTACTCATCAAAGTCTCGATTCTCTGAGATCCGCCAGTAGCTCAGCATTGTTTTCCCTACTGTTGAGCAACTTCAACACCCCGGAGGACAACGCATCTAAGCCTACGGTAGTGCCAGTTCCTCCCCATGTTCCTCCAACTCTCCCTGGTTGCAATAGCAGCAGCGAACGTCCCTCATTACTCCATAAAACGTTTAAGGTGAGCGCTTTTCCGTGTCTGCTGATTCCAGTTCAAACTTTCTCATCGCTTGAAAACTCTGGTGTATTTGCTGCTTTACGTGAGACATATAAACTAACACTTGATAGTTGCCGTAACGACAACGAGTGCCTTCATTGGTAGTTGATCAGGTGGCCGTTTGTCCGTTCAACAAGCTTGGCAATTAGCTTGCAAACCTTCCATTACCGATTTAGGTGACATCAATGTGCAGTTGGATGAATGATTCCTTCTTTGAGTCTATACAGCTGTCAAAGATTGGTTGATATTTTTTAGTGTGCTTGGCTGACGAGAACGCATCCTTCTCGGGACAAATCAAATGAGCAAAAGGCAGACCAGAAGAAATCCGGAACTGATCAGTTAGACGAGGAACAAAATGTCCTCGGACAGAAACTGCTCAAGCTGCAACCGAATCTAAAGAATACGAACCATAGCGCACCAAAACGTGAAACGTACTAAATGCGATTCCCAGGAAGGTGTGTTCTCCTCAGCCAATCACAGGAGTATACATCAGCTAGCCTTTAACAGCTATATAAACGCAAGCAGGTAAGGAGGTTTTACGCACTCAAACGCTCACTGATGATTGGTGGCGAAAAATTTGCAAGCTGATTACACAGCTTGGCGAACAGATCAGAGGCCATCTGGTCAATTACCGGCTACGTAAAACCTATCGGCCTTTCAGAGATACCTCGAGTTCACACCCCATGGTATCAGGAACTATCAGTACTCCGGATTATCCGATGAGCAGACTGACTTTAATCTTCATTTGAATCAGGTTTACTTTTGGGATCCCGGCTAGTTCCGGTTGAAATACAATATTCTTAAATGGAAGATCTGGCCGGCTGCAGAGGTTTTTCACTAAACACCTACTAATGAGGTCCTTTTCCGCAACATTTCTTGGTTTCTTTCGGCATGGGACCTCATGCTGTCCACAGTTTTGAAGTTTACATGCACCTCAACCAGGAATGAATTTGGGTTTCAGTCAAGCTTATCCCCTTTCGAAAAGAGGGCGGTTTTTTGCCGACAATAAGTGTTTCATTTCGAGGAAGGGACATATTGCGTCGCAAATTTTCAGGTATTCTTAGATTTCATTATTCTCGCTTATTCTTGCTCCGTGCATGCACAGATGGATGGTTTCAACAGTATGGGCGCGGCTTCTTCCACTCTACCGAGTTTTCCTAGCTGTCTTAAAGTCGACGCTCAATGTCCCAAGACCTCCACTATGTTCATGAGATCGAATATTCATACGCACGATCCAAAGCAATTGGAGGAATTCGCTCAACCTAATCCCTTATCAGAGCCAAACGGCCCACCTCCACCGGATCTTCTAACCAGCGCTGGTTTGTTTAGGAAAACGCCTTCATCCATGGAGGGTGCGGCGTTATCACCGGGGCATGCGTTCCAGTTACCTGCTGCGGGCAGTGACAACGAATCTGTTGTGAGTTCCACCATCCTTTTCATGATGCATAGTTTTGTAATCCCATTTTACTTTTGGCTAGTTGCTGTCCATTTCCCAAGGGTTCCCTGTAAAAGGCGCCGCCGCCTTGCCACTGCTGAATAGGTTTTCTTTGCGTTTTCTTTCGTCTACAACTTCGGAGAAACTCTTGCTGTCTACTACCTCATGATGTCCTCTCTTGAGGGATTTTGAAGTCTTCGCTTATATAGACGATGTCACTGTGTCATTAAGTATGCTCCTTGCTCCTGACAAGGCTGAAGTAGTGCGCTGACATTTCCACTTATTGTGTAAACTCGTTCGGGATAACAATTGAATTTATCCGCATAGGTAGGTGGTGGCATCATGTCGAACATGGCTCATTTCAACCACTTTTATCTGCGACCCTTTGTGCAGCTTATACACTACACTCCGACATACTGGGCGAGTCGAACCACTGTACCCTGGAATGCGGTTTATGGTAGTCAAACACAAACCGGCTGAATAGACAAATTTATGAAGATTCCTCAGATTCGTCTGTCTTGTTATCCATCTTTGGTTTTAAAAGCTGAACATTGGGTTCATTACGGAAGTTTGTTACTCTTCAGCCAAGCCACTCTACATGACTTACTCTAAAGGCTCTTAGAAAATGCTCTGCTCCCTGTAGATGAGCTGATCTCCATCGAATTTTCGTTATACGATCATTCTAGTTCTGACGATCGCTGACTGTCACACAGGAAGAGCTTGGTATATTTTCTCATACGAGACGTCCACGTCCATGATAGTCCTACTTGGGAAAAAGGCGCTTGGTGAGGAAGGCACCTTGTGATTCTATTACCGTTTTCAATCAAGCAATTGGAACTATACTATATATACTATACTGTACTGTGCTATACTACACTATACTATACTATACTATACTATACTATACTATACTATACTATACTATACTATACTATACTATACTATACTATACTATACTATACTATACTATACTATATAATATAATACTATACTATACTATACTATACTATACTATACTATACTATACTATACTATACTATACTATACTATACTATACTATACTATACTATACTATACTATACTATACTATACTATACTATACTATACTATACTATACTATACTATACTATACTATACTATACTATACTATACTATACTATACTATACTATACTATACTATACTATACTATACTATACTATACTATACTATACTATACTATACTATACTATACTATACTATACTATACTATACTATACTATACTATACTATACTATACTATACTATACTATACTATACTATACTATACTATACTATACTATACTATACTATACTATACTATACTATACTATACTATACTATACTATACTATACTATACTATACTATACTATACTATACTATACTATACTATACTATACTATACTATACTATACTATACTATACTATACTATACTATACTATACTATACTATACTATACTATACTATACTATACTATACTATACTATACTATACTATACTATACTATACTATACTATACTATACTATACTATACTATACTATACTATACTATACTATACTATACTATACTATACTATACTATACTATACTATACTATACTATACTATACTATACTATACTATACTATACTATACTATACTATACTATACTATACTATACTATACTATACTATACTATACTATACTATACTATACTATACTATACTATACTATACTATACTATACTATACTATACTATACTATACTATACTATACTATACTATACTATACTATACTATACTATACTATACTATACTATACTATACTATACTATACTATACTATACTATACTATACTATACTATACTATACTATACTATACTATACTATACTATACTATACTATACTATACTATACTATACTATACTATACTATACTATACTATACCATACTATCCGTGGGAGCAGTTGGGCAGTTCATTCGCTGTCCGAGGGAAAACAATAAGCTTTCCATTGGCTTTCAAGCTGAACGCCCGCTACTGCCATACTGTGTCACAAGACTGACGTTTCATCAACTGTTGGAATTTCTCAGAATGGCTTCTGTCGGCATACATTGCTCATTTCTTTGGAATATGGATTGAAGGCGATAAAACTGGTAAATTCATTGTTATTAAATGATAAAGTGGCTGCAGCGTATGGGTAATTAGTGGTGTGGGAATTCTTTAAATGTCGAGTTCTCCTTGCAATTGTAACCGGTCCCTGCTGATAAGTCGAGAACTGTACACCTGTTTATTCCTCATTGAGAATCATTAGCAATCCGCATCTCACGAAACTCCGAGAAGCACCGACCTCCTGGCTAGTAGTTTGAACACTTATTCGTTAGGTGACAACCATAGTGAATAACTCGCACTGATACTCGCCACTGATACTTCGTTCAGTGTATCCATATCACGGGGTCGCATGTTGACTTCACAGATGGAAATTCCATTGATTGGGTGAATTTTTAAAAATCCATTGTTGACCAATCACTTCTGGCTGATTGGCGAATTTACTAGTCGAGACGTTGCCGACTCGTAACTTCCTGGGGTTTCGCGGAATGCGCACGGGTGGTGATCCCCAATAAGGACGAAACACCTGTTCAGTGCTTCTCGGCTTTTCAACATAGATTGGATTCGTTCACAGGACGAAGTCACCATGAGAAAAACGCATGACCTGCTTCACTTATCCTCACCTACGTGCTTCACTAAACATCGTTCACACATCACAGGAGACATTAGATACGGACTGTCATTCCGGAGATCAAATCTAGCAGCTGTCTTCTCCAGCCTTGGAAGTCCGCGGTGACGTCCTGATATTACTCAACCGTACAAAACGAGTTTACTGTACGCCTGTCCGAACAGCTCTTTTGTATGCCAGAAACCTGTTCGTTGGGGATTTATGGCTGCTGCCTTCGTTTGTTTATCTTTTTGGGACGATGTGCCAGCCACATCGTAGTACAATACGCACGGAGCCACAAAGCAATCGAATTCGAGCTTTTCACCCATCAGCTGAAGGAACTATAATTAATCCTTTGTCAGAGGCATCGTAGAGGTCAACCATCAGCGTGGAAAATAGTGTGAACGACATTACAGCAAACCGGCCTTGTTCGTACCAATTAGATTTTCCGGTCGGAGAAAGGAAAACCAAGTCCTTATAGGCGACGTTATCCTAAACTTTCCAAGGCACTGAACTCACGACTTCGAGATGGCTCAGTGGTTAGAGCGCGAATTTACTGACAGTAATGTCCGTAGTTCGAACCCGACCTCTGCCTCTCGACTTCTCCTGTTTAGGCTTGGGCAACCTGACGTTATCCCAGTCCTCGTGCTTCCTTCTGGCAGCTAGGCACCGGGAGGGTGTTACAGCTGAACCATTTTTTTATGACAAGCATCACAAAGATGTTGAGAATAATCACAAAAAAGTGAACTCGTCCTAGCTAAACACAAAGTGCACGTAAGATCGTTTCAGGTCTGTTGCAAGAAATACTCCAAGACCCTCACCTATTCGGGGAGTACTTTACTCAGGAGAGAAATGTTTTGCTAACAAGTTGATTGTGTAATGAATGCCGTTTGTAAAGTGCTCAGGTCTGTTTATTTTTGTCTCCACTGTAGTACCACGTATTCGAGGCACCTCATTTTGGTATGTTTAATCTGCTTTCATACTTCTTCCGTTAACAGGGTGACATAAGCGTGGAAGACCAATTGTATGGCGTATGGCGTCAGCTTGTGCCCCGTCTTCTGTCTAACAAAATAGTGATTTGGGCCCATCAGCAGGGTGGTGTGGGATTAGTTCATCCACTCCGACCAATGCCTGGAGTTTTCGACGGGTTCCCTGCGCCCCAAAGTCTATTCAGTCATCAGAAACCTTCAGCCACTGTGGATTTCCCCATACCTACCGCGGATTTACCTAATGCAGCTTTATACAATGCCGCACAGAATACTCCCGGTGCTTGTTATTCCTCGGTGAAAAATACCATGAGATGCCCATCAGTCACCAGGTTTGGTCTTCCTCTATCCAACCCAGTGAACACTAATCGAGCAAATCGACCAATCGCAATAGCAAAGTACGCTAATATTCTTTTGGAAGACACGTTAAATAACCTGCTAAATTTAGTTTTCGTTGTTTTCCACTGAGGATTTTCGCGACCCGTGTAATTTGCTGTTTGCTCTT